CCTCGTCCCCGCCCCTTCCCCGCCCTCCCTCGCTGCGCTCGGCCTACGGTGCACGCCGCCCCGCCCCGCCCCTCGCGCTGCGACTGCGCTGTTCTCACGATTTTCTTCGTTTCCGGGCGAAGCTACCGCTCTCCAGTTCCTTAACAATTTTTTCCAGCTTCATCATGTGGAACCAACGGCAAAGCCGCTTCAGGCGGGTGGCTTGCGGGGTGGAGGAGCTGCGGTGCCGCCGGCGGGAGCGGGAGGCAGGTGCGGGCAGGCGAGGGGCCGCCAGGAAATCAGGCTGTAGCAGTCGGCGGTGGGGAAGGAGACGCCGAGCTCGAGGCTGTGGGTTCTGGGTGCTGGGCGCTAGCTGACCCCGAGGCGGGTACGCTGTCCTCAGCACTGCGGAAGGCGCGGCGGGAGCAGCAGCTGGTTAGCAAGAGGCTGCTGAGAGAAGCCCCAGAGGAAGCCGCTGGGGAAGGGGCGGCCATCGTTCTCGGGGAAGCCGAGGTGAGCGGACCGGGAGAGTTGCGCGCTGCAGTGCTCCCTCCCGCAGGTACTTGGGGGTCAGCCCCAGAACTGAACACAAGTTGCTCTACACATCCACATATGTCCCGTGGGTCAAGCTAGAAATGGGGAGATCGTCTTCTACAACTCGTTACCCCTCATCCCCACATCAATCCAAGTCCTATTAATTTTATCTCTTAATGAGCTCATGGCTTTTTTTTTTTTTTTTTCTTCTCTGTACTGGGAATCAATCTCAGGCCTTGTGCTTGAGAGACAGGCGCTTATGTCTCTTGAGTGAGCTGTATCCCCCGCCCAAGCTCAGGGATTCTTTCCGCGCCTCGCTATCGCAGCTACTGAAATTATCTTTGGATACTGCAGCAACCTCCTAAAAAGCTCTACCCTTTGTCACCTTCAGTGCCTATTTTGAAAACAGACCAAAATCTTTCCTGTGACCTGCAAAGCTCTGTTCTGCGTGACTCTAACCCTATAGTTGACTCATACCAACCTGATAGGTCCTGGCCCTCGTATGAATTGTTGAATTATTGTGGTGGTCATCTGATATGGCTGAACCCCTTGCAACAACAAGCTTATCTTCCCAGAGACCACCTCCCCGTTTCTTCTCCAACTCAGCCCAGGGTGCATTTTTCCTTTCATCTTTCCTGCTGCCTCAGGAAGGACCCCAGTCAGTTCTTCAGATATTTCAAAGTCCACCCCTAACAGAAGTCCACAAAAGCCTCAGCTCTGTCTCAAGCCAGAGTATCTAGCTGCCCCATCTGCCCTCTATCCTCTCCTTGTCTTTGAAGTGAATAAAGGTTTCTTTTATCTTTCCTATCTTTACTGCACTGCCAAAAAACCTATCACAAGCACTGTCTCCTGTTCAGTTTGTAAAATGACAGTCTAACTCTGCTTTCTCAAGGTCTTTGCATTTGCTATATTAAAAGTGGGTCATCCCTTTTGGTATTCTCTTTGGCAGGCTGTTTATTTTTTTTCAGGTATTTAAGCAATTACCAAATGGTTCATTTTTTTCACCATCTCGCTAGATTTTTTTTCGTGTGTGTGTGGGGGGGCGGCGGTACTGGAGATTGAACTCAGGACCTTACACTTGCCAGGAAGATGCTTATGCCATTGAGCTATCTCCCTGGCCCTCTCTCTAGATTTTTAATTCCATGATTACTTAGACCCTATTTTATACTAGATGCAATAGATGTTCATTATTTATTGGTTGAGTACATAAAATGGTTTATACATTCAGCAGGCATTAGGTATACCTTGTGTTTGTATTGCCTGTGCTTACATCATGGGTTCACACAGCGCTTATGCCTAGTCTGTATTCTTCATTGTGAGCTTTACATCATGCTAGGACGTTATGCAGGGCATTAAGGGCATATACGATGAAAAAGAGTTTTTTCTTTGAAGTACTCACCGACCAGTGAGGGATGGTTGTGCTACCACCTATCATAATGCAGAGAACCACAAGGTACGAGAGAAACTCCTTTAAGTCTACCAAAGGTTGAAAGAACTAATGTTTCTGAGGCAACCATGAGCAGAAGTCTGGAAGAAGTTGACAGGGTAACCCAGGCAGGTGACATAGATGTGCAAAAGCTTGGAAGCATTAAAATACAAGTCATTATGCTGAGTGTTGCTGGGCTGTAGGTTGTATGGGGGGAAATGTTTACAACAGTGGTGGTAAACCTATGGGACACATGTCAATTGTATTTTTCTTTAGAGACCAAAGATGTAAATGTAGAGTTGTTTTTTCGAATCTTAAACCCCAGTATTCAGGTTTAATTGCAAAACCAACTTTGCATTAAGTTGGTTTTGAGTTGCAGTTTGACACTCAGTCTCTAAAAGGTTCAACGTCACTGTTCTAGAAAGTAGTTTTCCAGGCTGAGAAGATTAAATGTTTATTTATCCTTGAAATACTCCATAAACTAGACACTGATTTGATTTTTTTCAGGTGAGGAAACACGTTCAGGTTCTTTGTAGTGTAAGGGGCTGGGCTGATTCTCTCTTTGTGTGCTCCCTTGAAACATTGGTTCTTATTGGCTATAATGGGATTATTGACAGGTTTTAGAGATGGTATGATATTGGAGGTCCCAAAAATGAAGTGGGCAGGGGCAGGGGAGATAGCTGAGTAGAATAAGCGCAAGGGCCTGAGTTCAATCCCCGGTTCCGCAAAAAAAAAAAAAATTATGAGTTGAAGTGGGCCGTGATTTGGTTCCTGGGCGTTGAGTCTTATCTTTTCTGTCCTGAGCTTTAGATCCAGCAGTTCCTCCGACTAGCTCAGCGGGGGACAGAGGAAAAGGAGAGAGAGCAAGCTCTGGTCACTCTTCGTCGAGGCCTGCAGCACCTTGAGACACAGCAAACCTTCATCCGGTCAGTGTGGATGGTTGTGTGGTTGGCCAGGACTCAGAGGGGACAAGAGAGGGTAAAAGGACTGTATCACAGACTTACCAGGACTCTGGTGTTTACTCATGTAGGCTGGAGGGAAGCATGCGGACCCTGGTGGGGCTTCTGACCTGCAACCGCGCCCTGTTGCAGCTTGAGGCGGCTCGGTGCCTTCATGAACTCTCTCATTCTGAGCAATCTGTGGTGGCTGAAGCCTGCCTACCAGCTACTTCCTACCTCCTCACCTACCTCTCCGGTCACAGTTCAGACTTCATAGTAAGCCCTATCTCTGTCACCTTGTTCTGGGCTTAGATTTTATTTATTTATTTATTTATTTTTTGCGGAACCAGGAATTGAACTCAAGCCCTTAGGCAAGTGCTTATTCTACTGAGCTATCTCCCCAGCCAGTTGGGCTTAGATTTTAAAATAGTGTTTTTGGTCTAGTTTGAGGTGGCAGATAGGCAGAAGAAAAACAGTAAAGCATTTCCAATGCCCACAGCAGTGGATACACCCTTCATCACTCTCTTGTGAGCTTTAAGGTCTATTGTGAGGTGAGCCCAGCCCAGTGCTATTGTTGCCTGCTCTCAGGAACTGTGTCTTTATACGCTGGGAAACCTGATTGTGGAGAGTGAGGCTGTGAGGAAGCAGCTCCTGCCACAGGGCATTGTTCCAGCCTTGGCCTCCTGCATACAGGTGAGTGCCTCTATTCCCTCTCTCTGGGCATACTTTCCTTTGCTCCTTCCTGGTACCCCACTGGCTTTAGTAGGTAGTGCCCACCTCCATGCCAACAGGCTAAATGTCTCAAGGAACCTTATGACCAGGCTTCCAAAGTCAGATCACTACCTTGTCTACTTCTAGTCCCCGCATGTGGCTGTGCTGGAAGCTGTTGGATATGCCTTGTCCCAGCTTCTGCAGGCTAAGGAAGCTCCAGAGGAGATCATTCCGTAAGTAAAATTACATCTGTAGATATTCAGCTAAGGTTGACCCTTTTGGTAGCATAGTGTGATCAGATCTGATCTCCAAAGCTATTGTACATTTTAATTCCATTTACATCAGGCAAGGAGGAGCTTTGGCTTTTGTTTCTGTTTGTTTGTATTTTAGGGAAGGGCCTACAGGGTGTTCAGGGTCTCACTACTAGATCAGACTCTTGTGATCTGCCTGTTTACAGCTTCCCAAGAGCTGGGATTATAGGCGCATGCCACCACTCCCAGTCTCAATTGCAGTCCCATGCTGGCCCCGGGGATCCGAACCTCCCTGCTCCCTTGCATGAGCTTTAATCTACTGAGCTATTTGGTCGGCCCTAGGCAAGGATTTGGAATTAAGACACTTTCTCCTTGGTATAAGGATTTGGGAAGAGGCACTACCATCTTTATGGTGTATGCACAGCCATGTTTCTGTTGACAGCTGTATCCTGAACTCCACCCTGCCACAGCACATGCTACAATTGATGCGGCCAGGCCCAAAGCTCAACCCTGGGGTTGCTGTGGAGTTTGCATGGTGCCTTCACTACATCATCTGCAGGTAACACAGGCCACTTGAGAAAAAGCTGGAAATATTTCGTTACATGTCACCCTTTGGTCTCTGAGCACGTTTCTGGAATTGCTACAATTTTTTATTTCTCTGTGGTCTTTTTTTTTTTTCTCTGACACAATGCCCAGTCTGAGGCTGTTTCCCAGCCTAAAGGCAGGACTGGCATTGACTACTTGCTTGCTGTTGCCCAGCCAGGTCAATAATGCCCTGCTTATCACTCATGGAGCTCTGTCTACTCTGGGGCTGCTGCTGTTGGACTTGGCTGAGGTTGTCCAGAGAACAGAGGATGCAGGACTGGAGCTGGTAGGTGAAAAGGACAGGCCAGGGTCTGGGAGATGTTTCTTTAGCCTCTGCCCTTCTTCTGGTGTTCAATAACTTTTCTTTTTCACACCTCAACCTCAACTTGGCTTTGCAGCTTGCATGCCCTGTGATTCGATGCCTAAGTAATCTGCTAACAGAGGTGGCAGTAGAGGATGTGGGAGGTCAAATGCAGCTCCGAGATGAACGTATTGTGGCAGCCTTATTTATCCTACTTGAGTTCTTCCTTCAGAAACAGCCCAGCCTGCTTCCTGAGGGCCTCTGGCTCCTTAACAATCTTACTGGTATGTACCATAATCTGTTCAGACCTGAACCTTTATTTTAGCATCATCAGAATATTAAAAGCAATGTAGGAGGGAATTAAGCTGTTAAAAAACTAAAATGCAGAATCAAAGGTGGGTGGGTGGGGGACTCTTTGATATCTTAGAAGGGGCCCATGCAGTTCAGACTGAGGGAGGTCCTTCACGAACCTCTCCTCAACCCCATCAGTGAAAGCCTTCCTACTCATGTCTCCTACCTCACATCCACCTAGGTGGGAGTCTAGACCCCTGAAGTGACTGACTCCCTGGAGAGGCAGTCTCTCCCAGTAAGTAGATCATTCAGGCCTGAGTTCCTTCAATGTGGGGCAAAAGGACAGCTTAGGGTGTAGATAGCTGAGAGTATCAGCCCCTGATGCCCCACCCTTTGCTTATTGTCCAGGCTTGCCAAAGAAACCTTGTTCAGTAACATGCTAAAGTGAAATATTTTAATATTTCTGTCAGAAAGTCCTTTAAGGATAAAAATGCTCTTAGTATTCTGTAAACCTAGTCTCCTTGCCTGGTCTAGTCTTTGTGCAGGATTTGGGGATAAGATGGCTACCCTGAACTTCGTGGGGTCCCCAGAGGAAGGAGACTGAAAGTGCAGTTAATGACAGTCATTCGGGGCCAGGATTACTTTTTTTTTTTTTTTTTTTGCGGAACTGGGGATTGAACTCAGGTCCTTGTGCTTGCCAGGGAACTGCTTATTCCACTTGAGTCATCTCCCCGGCCCCAATGACACTCATTCGTACCCATGAATTCATGCATGTGTGATACACCAAGGCATGTTGGTAGAACACATTGTTCAGCTGAATTTCTGTTTGTGCACACACACATGCTCACATAGCAGTCACCCCCAGTACATGTTTGGTGTCTTGGGTGAATGTACATACCTGCCACAGACACAGAATCCTGTCCTTCCTGGCTTGTTCAGCCTCCTGGTGGTAGCCAGTTGGTCCCCATACACTACAACGCCCTCCCCCCAGAAGCTCTTGGAGACAGGAGTATAAATGAAACTTTTCCAGTGGCGTGGAGAATAGCTACATGGTGGGGATAAGTAGAGGTAAGGGATTTCATGATGGGGGTCAGGAACTCAAAGGTATATGCTGTAGGAGTGAGTTAGCCATCAGCAAAGACAGGCATTCTTTGTTCAAAGGGCCTAGACTGTCAGATATAAAGGATCAGCTAGGCTGAGTTGTGTAGCATTGTGGGGAACAGTTTAGGCCCCAGTACAGAGTATTTTATATTGACATTTTCCCTTCCAGCAAACAGTCCTACTTTGTGTACTTCTTTGCTCTCCCTGGAGCTGATCGAACCCCTCCTGCAGCTGTTATCAGTGTCGAATGTGGTGAGCATACTGGTATGTTTTGGTGTCAGGAGTCCAAGACCTGCTTGTTAAAAAGTAAGAAGTCCTCAGTTCTGAGAAGTACCCTTTGTTTAGAGATGACAGGTGATATGTTGTGGCTTGAGAGCTAGACCAATCCAGCTTCAAGCTTTGCCACTTAGCACATTTTGCAGGACTCTGGTTACCTGACCAGCACTGAAGTTATTCAGAAACATCCTTCTCTTGACCAAATGCAGAGGAGAAAGATCACTGAATAAGTACTCTGATTATGGGCCTTACAGATTTTTTTTTTTTTTGGAGACAGGGTTTCACTCTGTAGTTCAAACTGGTCTTCAATTCACTAGGTAGCCCATGGTGGCCTCAAACTCACAGCCATTTGTCACTTCCTGAACTGGATCACTACCTTCCTTGTGTATGTCATCTGGCTTCTCCATATATAATTGGGGTAAAAGTACCAGAGTTAGTTGTCGGGATTAAAGAATGTGCTTACTAGAGTTTGGCATAGTATGTGCCCATGTGCCCAGTACTGCTTATCTTGTTTTCCCTCATTTGGGGAATTCTCTCTCTGCAGGTACTCACAATTCTGTGCAATGTTGCAGAGAAGGGTCCAGCTTACTGCCAGCGGCTGTGGCCAGGGCCCTTGCTCCCCTGCTTGCTAAACACAGTGACCCTCTCAGACATTGAGGTAGTAGGCCAGAGTTTGGAGCTGCTACAGCTGCTATTCCTCTATCAGCCAGAGGTAGGTTTCTGGCCCTGGCCACTCATCTCCCCTGCTCAGAAGTCTGTACTGTCATATGACCTCCTCCTGTTCCAGTTCCATCTATGGATGTTTCTCCAGGCTGGGTTTGCCTAGTAGGTTGGAATCTGTACTGTCTTGTTGAGAATGAACCATCTTCTAAGAGCTCACCAAAAAGTGGGTTCCATGAGGCTAGAGGGAGGCTTGAATAGTACAGCATAGGGACCTAGGTGTTAAGTCCTTTTCTTCCCTGCCTTCAGGCTGCCCAGGCCTTCCTGCAGCAATCTGGGCTTCAGGCCTTGGAAAGGCATCAGGAGGAAGTCCAGCTTCAGGATCGAGTGTGTGCTCTCCGGCAGACAGCTCTTCATGGCTGACCTGGCTTCTCATGTGCTCCATCCTCTCACCAGTCACTTTGCTCATTTTCTTTCCAGAGGATTAGGAACATTATAAACTGTTTTCTCCTCCTTATCTTATACTGTTTGAACGGGAGAACCAGGGGGGTGCTTTATATAGCCTATTTATTCTAGGGCCTTGGATTTTCCCCCCATACCCCCACCCCTCAACTGGTGGCTTTTGATGAGAAAAAAAATAAAAGTTTTATTTTTATATTAAACTGCTTTGCCTCTGGTTGTACAATAAGGGATAGAGGTAAAACAAGGAAAAGAACACTCTGAGGTAGCATTTTACAGCACAAGCTTTATAAGGAAGAGAACACATTTTCCCATTGTACTGTCCAGCAGAACCCAGGTTCTGGGGCTCTTGGTCATAACAAT